TTATGAATGAGCATAAAATGTTCACACATGCCAGAATACATTTGGCTAATGATTGAAAAATTACAAACATATCAATACCTGCTGCCTTAAATGATGCTGTGATCAATGAAGTTTGGAGGATAAATTATGGCCTCTGCTCTCACTGATCCAGTCTCTCATAAATACCATCTGATCCAGTCTCTCATAAACACCATCCCTCATCAGCTTCCATAAGAATCCACTCACACTACCCATCTCAAATTTTCTGAATTTTGACCAAAGGTTTTGGAGGCCACTGGGTGCATCAGATTTATTGCAGCATAGCCCTGTTGTGATTGCAATGCAATTTAACACCAGGTCCACGTGCACGTGATGATAGGGCCGCCTATACTGCCATCAGTGTGCACCTGGAAGGCACAGTTGATCTGCCAATGCTATTAACACTTCTTTTAAAAGTAATTTCAGAGTATAGTCCACTTTAAATTACATCCTCTTGAATTTGGGGGCTTTGTTTTGAATTTTATTCCTATTTTGGTTTTAGTGTCAGCTTGAATTTGTAAGATTTTCTAGCATTAAATGATCAAAAAATGATAATCACTATCATTATTTCATCAACTCTCCTTCATCATGCTTTTTACTGCATCATTGGTTTTACAATGACACAGTTATAAATGACATCAAGAAATGGATCTAAAATATATTCTGCAGCATATAAATGAAGTATTTGGTTGCAAATTTATGAAGGTTTAACAACTTCTTTGCTAATTTAGTCTTCCAAACTTTGTGTTTTTGAAATAATTTTGAATTTACATGAAAGGTATAGAAATAGTACAGGGCGCCAGTGTACCCTACACCCTGATTCCCCAATGGTTAACATTTCTGAGAAGTTGAGGGTATGATACTCTACTGTTCCTAATACTTCAGTATATGTTTCCTAAGTACAGGAACACTCTCCTATATGACCACAGGGCAACCATAAGAATCAGGAAATTCACATTGATCTGGTGCTACCATCTAAACCATAGGCCTCAGTCAAATTTTGCTGATTATCCCAATAATGCCCATTATGTCCACGATCCAATCCAGGATCACATGCATTTAGTTTTTGTGTCTTTCAGTCTCCTTCAATATGAATCAGTTGCTCATCCTTTTTTGCTTTTCATGACCTTCATTTTTTTTTTGAGATGGAGTCTTACACTGTCGCCCAGACTTGAGTGCAGTGAAGCGATCTCAGCTCATTGCAACTGCTGCCTCCCACATTCAAACGATTCTCTTGCCTCAGCCTCCTGAGTAGCTGGGATTACAAGCTCTCGCCACCACACCTGGCTAATTTTTTTTTTTTTTTTTGTATTTTAGTAGAGACGGGGTTTCACTATGTTGGCCAGGCTGGTCTTGAACTCCTGACCTCGTGGTCTACCTGCCTAGGCCTCCCAAAATGCTGGGATTTCAGGTGTGAGCCACTGTGTCCAGCTGATCTTGATCTTTTAAAAAAGGTACAAACCAGTAACTTTGTGTATCCATTAACTTTGAATATCCCTCAATTTGGATTTGGTGATATCTCCTGATTTATGCATCTTTGCAGATACACCACTAAAATGATGCTATGCTCAGTACATAAGAGCAGAGACACATAGTGTTAATTTGCCCTATGACCAGTTTGGCTAACTTTTATCACTAGGATAAGATAGTATTTGCCAGGTTCTAAAGCTATTCTAAAGTTAATAAGTATAATGCAATTATTAATCAATGAGTAGTTGAAAAATACTCTGTGGGGAAATATTTTGAGGCTGTGTAGAGACAGTCGACACCCGTTGTTTGTGGCAGATATGTTCTATAAAGTCACTGTGAACACTGGATTAACCTGGACTAAGCTTCGCTCCTATGGGAGGTACAGGATTTGGTTCCTATTACAACATAATCCTCGACAAATCAGTCAACACACGACCTTGCTTTATGTATCTTTCTGTTTAAAGACTCCTTATTTAATATATAGGGTTGATTCATTATCATTGAACTTATGGTCAATTACACTGTAACTCATGCCTGAAGGAAGCTTAGCTAACATGAGAATTTTCTCTGTAAAGCACATCACAACCTCTTACACTTTAGGAACCGTAGACAGCACTGCAGAACAAGGGATTTTAAACAATAAGATCACCAACAAAAAGTACAAAAATGCAAAAAATGTGAGTCGATGTATTATGGAAAGGACACGAGTTTACAATATGAGAACTGAAACAAGAAAGCAGAGTGTCACCTTGTTCCACCTTAGCTGGGAATGTACGTGTTGGACAACTCGATCTGTTTTCTGGTCTGCCCATGACTGTGAAAGTGCTGCAAGTGTTAATTTTGGGGTTACAAATAAATTTTAGCAAGTAGACATCTTTGCGAATATGGTATCTGTGAGTAATAAAGACTGACTATATCTCATACTTATTAGACTTTTGCTTACTGGTTTTAGTATCTACTGGGGTCAAATTGTCCCAGATTGGCCAGTGAGAATCCTTCAAGCTGTCTTCTGTGTCCTTCTGACGTTCCCTCACCATTCCATGAACACATTTTTGCTTTCTTATTCAACAAGGTTTTCTAGGCTTATCTTGTATTTTCTCTGCCCCAGTTGTAAAGTTAGACATTTTTCCAGGGAGCTCTGGTTCCTTTTAGTAGAAGATGGTTTTTAGAAACCAAGAATTGGGTGCCAGATAGATGCATTCCTACCAGGGTGTCATTACTTCTAAGCCTTGTGAGCAGACAGAGGAAGATCTATATTTATACCCACACACAAACACACACATAGCCTATCATCCATGTATCAATCTCATCTAATCTATTTATCTATCTGCCTATCTGAACCAGTACCTCCAGTTCCAATCTGATGTAGAACAATCCCCCTTTCCATATTTGTAACCGCCTTCTTTGGCAGTTAGAAAACTGATTTCCATTATTTTCAATGTACTTATAACTTGCTAAGTCTCCTTTTATGTAAAACAAAACAAAACAAAAAAAAAAAACAACAACAAACACCCAGCCCCACCAACCAAAGGCACAATCCTGGATACTGTGCTCCCACCTCAGCTCCTGAAGAGCTGTAGGCTGAAAGCTTAGCCCCAGTAAAGGGAAACAAGAAAGGTAGAAGAAAGAAGAAAGAAACGTAAGAGTCGTTGAAGGTCTGAACTTCTGCTAATTTTTCTTAAATAGCAACAGACTTTTTTAACAAGAGAGAACCATCATGCATGTTTTTAGTTAACCTTGAAATTAGAAGGCTATTTTATCATACTAAATGGCTATAGAAGAAAAACCCATTCGATATAACTAGTATTTCTTAGAATAGTCATGTGATAGTATGTTTTTTTAATGTTAAAATTTATTTTATATTTTTCCCAGGTTAGAGTCAACACTTTGGCTTTTAATATATGGCTAACCTTAATTTGAATCTTTAAATGTTGATAGGTAATCTTTAATTTTCTAAGCTTTAAATTTTGGATATGACATTTTAGTTTACAGTGTTTATAAGAGGCTGTAGGATGATTTTATGAAACACTTTGATTATGTTTTTCTCTGTATGTTTATCCATGTTAAAAAATACAGCATGCATCTTAATTTTTCTTTTAGATTGTTAAACTTTAAAAATTAAACTAAGATATAGAACATTAAATTTAGTTTAAATTTTAAAATGATGACAGTGAACAGTCTTAACTTTCTAAGTTTCAAATTCTGGTGACTAGGAAGCTATGAATTATATCTTTAATAAAAGCTGTTGGTTAATTTTAATGAAATGACTTTATTATGTGGAAGGAGATAACTGTTCTGAGATAACTGTATTGCCAAAAATAATGCAGCTTCCCTTTTCTTTGAAGATACATAAAGATTACATAAATATACATTAATTCACATTATAGCCATGTAAAAATGCAGAAGTATATACACAATATTCTCCTTTTATTCCCATTTTCCACCCTTAGTCCCATTCACAGAACATAAACCCTTAGTAGTCTTGTGTTATATATATTGAGGAGTATATATGTGACCATATATAAATATATTGTTTTGGTTTGTTTGATTTTTAATTAAATAGAATTACATATATTCACATCTGTTTTTGCAGCTTGCTTTATACATTAATACAAATACTTCTTGAAGTTCTTTTATGCTGTACATACGGCTCTATTTCACTTTTAACTACTGTATAGTTTTCCATTATATGGCTGTGCTATAATTTATTTAAACATTTCCCATTGATGGAAATGTAGATTCCCATTTATGCTGTTATAAACTGTGCTCCAATAAAAATACTTGCACATGTATCTTGAAGCATATAGATGGCAGGTTCTGTGAAATAAATGCCTAGGCTGAAGGGTAAGACTTGCCTTTCTTTCTTGGAGGCAGCTCAGCAGGTGCTAAGCCCACACCTTTGGGCGCTCCTTCCTCTTTGGAGCTCTTTGTTCCCTAATCCAAGTACCTCAGAGTGTCTGACCTGATGGCCTCATTCTTTTGGCTTTTTGAACTGTGACAATTTCCTGTTTCATAATGAGACTGGACAATCAGAAGTCCAACATCATGTAGATGCCCCAGAAGTGGAATAACTATATTATAATGTTGGTTAGGAGAAGTGGAAATTGTAATTTAAGGCTGCATTTCATGCGCTTTATACATCTAGTGGACTTTGAGGCCTTAACAATAAAAAATATTGTTTTAATCAATGAAGAAATGCAAATAATTCTAACAGTTTTTGAAATAGGAATCATCAGTTGGGTACTGCTTATAAGGATATTTGTGTGTGAGTATGTTTTTAGGTACTTTACTTAATTTCCATATCCTGGTTGAAAGTAAAAAAAAAAAAAAAAAGAAAACAAAATCTATTTAATAAAGAGAACGGTTTCTAATCGTCATCGGATCTATTTTTATTCTTTGGTGGCAAATGTTGCTGAATGGCTATTTCCAGTTCACTTCAAAAACAATTCAGTTTTATTTTGTTTTCCATCCATTGTTTATAACATTCGTTTGTCATTTTTGTCATTTTGTAGACCTACCAAGAGCAGCTGTCAGGATCTTAAGCAACATGACATTCCTTTTTGTGAGTTTGTCATACACAGCTGAGAGTGCCATTGTAACTGCTTTCATTACCTTCATTCCCAAGTTCATCGAGTCACAGTTTGGTATCCCAGCCTCCAATGCCAGCATCTACACTGGTAAGGCACTGCCGCTAGGGCTGCTTGAAAACATGATCATTTTGACCATGAAATGGAATGGGTGAAGAGAAAGTTCAATTTAACATCGAAGTGTTAAGTCCATTAACAGCTACCTTTCCCCCCAGATTCTAGGAGGAAGAAATCCTAGAAAGTGTTCTCTTTGATTCAGATTGTATTACCATGTGACACATTTCCCAACTGTGTTTGGGAAGGGGGAGAATTTTGCATATTTATATTTCTATGGTTTAAAAAAATGAAACAGGCAATGACATTCAAATTTAAATCTAAATAGGTCTTTTTATGGGTTGGCATGGGTCTTAAAGTGTTAAGTTAAAAAAATTCATAACCTGAAATATAGAACGGTTTAATGGTATCAGGATTTCCCCTTCAGAAATGTGAACAGATTTTAATTGAATTACTGGAGACAGGTGAATTTAAAAAGGAAATGTATGAATTTTATTTTAGATGTTTGATGCCTGGGCAAATTGATTTTTAGGAGACTTTGATGCACATACCCATAGTACTTAGTGTTCAAATCTTCTTTCATGATAAACTGGATGCTTAGAAATGTGGAAACATGCAAAGACTTGGAACCAAGCCAAATGCCCATCAATGATATACTGGATAAAGAAAATGTGGCACATATACATCATGGAATAACATACAGCCATAAAAGGGGTGAGCTCATGTCCTTTTCAGGGACATGCATGTAGCTGGAAACTATCGTTCTCAGCAAACTAACATGGGAACAGAAAACCAGACACCACATGTTCTCACTAATAAGTGGGAGTTGAACAACGAGAACACATGGACACAGGGAGGGGAACATCATACACTGGGACCTGTCAGGGAGTTTGGGGCTAGGGTAGGGATAGCATTAGGAGAACGTAAATGGCAGGTTGATGGGTGCCACAAACCACCATGCCACGTGTATATCTATGTAACAAACCTGCAGGTTCTGCACATGTATCCCAGAACTTATATAAGAAGTATATAAAAAATGTGGAAACATTAATTCTCAGATATTGGAGGCATTTTCAGTATATTATATCATGTAATATTCTAGATATTTTCTTAGTGGTATCAAAGATGGCTGGTTGACCATATCTTCCTAAAGGCTTAATTTATTTAATAAAGAATATTTCAACAGTTGAAGTATATTTAAATAGTGTAGAATTATGATAACTTTTCAGGTTACTTAGGCTCCTGCTTTCTCCAATTCCACACTCAAATCCAGTAAATTTGAATTATCTGAAAATGAACAGGCAAGATTACGTTACTGTAGAAAGAGAAACTGATTTGAAATATTTGGGCAATCACTTTGTTCTCTACTTCATCTTAGACATTTAAAGACATACAACATTGGGTTGTGAGTTCAGGATAGCACATGTTTTTTTATAAAGAATATACTGCTGTGGACTATTGTAATTGTGACTTAAAATATGTTTTTCCTTGATCTTGGTTGCAAAATATATGCTTTCCTGCATTAAGGTAAAATTCATTTTTTACAGTTTGATTATGAGAAAAAAATTTTTACAGTTTGGTATGAGAAAATCTAAACCTTCCATTTGTAGTTTAACTCTTCCACTAACCCTTTGTTGAGCAATGATTTTTGGACAGGGAAATTAAAAGTTGTCTTGTAGTTAGATTCAAAGCCACACAGCCATTAATTGTAGAGTCTCCAGCATTTCCCAAACTAAGTTTCAATATTCAAAGGTGTTACTGGAAAGAAGGTTCATAGTAAAATAAATCTGGAACTTGCTGAGTTAAACAATGTATCATACGACTTTTTACTCCAGGCCCTTTCATTTCCTTTAACATGCCGATAAGTGCTGTGAAACTCCCAGACGACGACTCAGATGGCAGCCTTTTCCAAAGTCATTTGACCATGAAACCCAAGTTTTTTAGAGGCATCTTTTTCATAAACAGTGTTCCCCAGGATACACATAGGGAAGCCCTCCTGTGTGCCCCAGTTCCAGCCAGACTAGGGAGCAGAGCTGCCTAGATCATTCCATTTCTCTGTAGATGTATCACTTTCACCCCAGGGTTAGTGGGAGAGTGGGGCAGTGCTGAGCTGGGTAGGCGCTAATGCACCTTGAATGGATACTGACTAAAACCATCTCTTAGTTACTGGTAGAGGCCCAGGCGGGAGGTGGTGACACCAATGTCTGACGAGGGCATCATTGCAATGCCACAGTCAACCCCACTTCACTCCTCTTGTGTAGTGTGTCTCTGCTGAACAGCGGGTCTGTGTCACAGTGCATTCTCCCTGCTCATGTTCTTTCTGCTGACCCACTTGGGGTCACATTTATCTCAATTAGTTAAATATTATGAAGTTGGTATTTTGGAGAAGCCTTAATAATGGGAAGAACCCTTGTATTAGTCTGTTCTTACACTGCTGTAAAGACATACCCAAGACTGGGTAATTTACAAAGAAAAGTGGTTTAATTGACTCACAGTTCTGCCTGGCTGGGGAGGCCTCAGAAAACTTACAGTCACAGTGGAAGGGGAAGAGACATGTTTTACGTGGTGGCAGGTGAAAGAGAGAGAGCAAGAGCAGAAAAACTGCCTTGTAAAACTATCAGATTTTGTGAGAACTCTCACCATCATAAGAATAGCATGGGGCGAACCATCACCTCCCACCTGGTGCCTCCCTTGATACATGGGGATTATGGGGATTACAATTTGAGAAGAGACTTGAGTGGGGACACAGAGCCAACCCATATCAAACCTGAAGGAGCAGTTATACAGGGTGCCCTTGGAATCCGTTCACTGCTGGTCACTAGTTGCATGACTTTGGTCAAGTCACTTTCCTCCCCACGTTTCAGCTGAAACTGGAGTTTATCTGTAACTTGAGGGTAATCTCTTCCCTGTGTCTCTGTGTCGGCATTGTTGTGAGGATCAAATGAAGTGGTGAATAGTGATTCGTTTTGAAGCTAGGTACAACAACATAAATGGAAAAATACAACCTGATTATATCATAGTAAAGAAAATAGTTGTTTGTGGTGATAGTATCTCACATCTGAAGTTGTGCAGTTTGAACAGCTCTGAGCATAAAATCTCTGTAATTATAAAAATGATGACAATAAAACCATTGCTGACATGTACTCAATGTTTACTACGTGCAAGGCTCTACCTAAGGAATTATATGTGGATAACATAATTTAATCCATGTAACTAATGCCTGTGAAGTAGATATTATTAATGATGCCCATTTTCTAGGTGAGAAAAAAAGGCCCAGAGAAGTTTAAATAACTTGCTTAAAGGCAAATAGTGTTAGAACCGCATGCTAGAATCTTGTACTCCTTGGAGTATATAAATATTGCCAAGTGTTTTTTACTGAAATATTGTAATAGGTATACACTGTTGTCATCATTTCGATTTAGTTTTTTCACTATTTCCACTAAGACAATATTCCAGTGGTTTTGGGATTCCATGCCCACCCACTCAGCCTCTGAGCCATGGTTCACAACGTCTGTTTTTGGAGCACAGTGATCTTTCAGCATTGCCTTTGCTTGGGCTCTTGGCTTTTGATGTGTAGAATTACAAAGAGTTAGAGCAATTGGTTTGTCTTTACAAGGAAAAGTAGCCTTGGAAAATTCCATTTTGTTTTTCACTGTAGAATAATTGAGATACTTATTTCTGTGGTAAAAGAATTAAGTTGGGATGTAATTTTAAAAATTACTGCAATTTTTATTGTTGTCTAAATAACCAAATATTTGCCATCCATCTTCAGCCACTGATTTTGGGTTTGGTTGAAGTGATTCACAGCAGTGCCACTGAACTCAAATTGCAGCCTTAGGGAATCAAGAAACATGTGAATGGGCTTTGATTTGCTTCATTCTTATAAGGTCATCAATAGCTTTTATGTAATTTTATGAGCAGTTTTAAAAATCCATTTTTATACATGAGGCCAACAAACATATGAAAAAATGCTCACCATCAGTGGTCATCAGAGAAATGTAAATCAAGACTACATTGAGATACCATCTCATGCCAGTTAGAATGGTGATCATTAAAAAATCTGGAGACAACAGATGCTGGAGAGGATGTGGAGAAATAGGAACACTTTTACACTGTTGGTGGGAGTGTAAATTAGTTCAACCATTGTGGACGACAGTGCGGCGATTCCTCAAAGACCTAGAAATAGAAATTCCATTTGACCCAGCAATCCCATTACTGGGCATATATCCAAAGGATTATAAATCGTTCTACTATAAGGACACGTGCACACGAATGTTCATTGCAGCACAGTTTACAATAGCAAAGACCTGGAACCAACCCAAATGCCCATCGACGATAGACTGGATAGGGAAAATGTGGCACATATACATCATGGAATATTACACAGCCATCAAAAATGATGAGTTCGTGTCCTTTGCAGAGACATGGATGAACCTGGAAGCCATCATTCTCAGCAAACTGACACAGGAGCAGAAAATCAAACACCGCATGTTCTCACTCATAGGCGGGTGTTGAACAATGAGAACACATGGACACAGGGAGGGGAGCACTACACACTGGGGTCAGTTGGGGGGAAATAGGGGAGGGACAGTAGGGGGTGGGGAGCTGGGGAGAGATAGCAAGGGGAGACATGCCAGATATAGGTGATGGGGAGGAAGGCAGCAAATCACACTGCCATGTATGTACCCATGCAACAATCTTGCATGTTCTTCACATGTACCCCCAAACCTAAAATGCAATAAAAAAATAAATAAAAATAAAAAAAAGAAAGAAAATCCATTTTTATACTAGTTTTATAAATGTATACATATATTTTTTTAAATGTTGAGATTAAGTGTTTAAATACAAATAGAGTATTTTAGGTATAGATGTCTACTGTAACCAGCCATATCCAAGGTCAGGTGATGACACTTGGCCCTGAGATGTGTGCCAATGCCACACTCAAGAGTGGTGGCTCTGAGAGAGGAGAAAGTTACTTGCAAACCAACATGCCATAGCGGCTGCTAAACTCCTCCCACGTATCATTTTAATCATTA